CATGGCCTGTTCGGAAGGTCTCCTACATATCTAGAAGCTAGTTGACCGTGCGAGTACCCCGTGATTAATCGGAAGGAAAATCTCTCATATTCCACAGATTTATTCTGAGACATGGAATGTATTTTGTTCCTTCGCTGTGCACGTTGTTACTGAGCAGTTCTTTGAAACAGCTGGTGTAGCATTTGATCAGACTTTTTTATCTTCACTCAAATGATCAAGAATAACATATAGCTGAAGTTGGAATAACATTTAGTACTGTGTTGCTGACTTGATATTGATTCAGCGTCAACGCATAACGTACGAAATTTCTTATGGAATAAATAAAATAAATTAGATTTAATACAGTAATAATGAAAATTATCTAATGACGGAAATTAATTCGATAAATCCAATAAAATCAGTACATTCAGTATCTCTTTCGGTACCTGGAAGTAGACTAGTCAATCGTCTTGAGGAAATATATATTTTTTGTTATTCGACTTACTTTGTCTTTACCACCACTGAATTATGAGACATCTTAGGTCAGGGTAGCTCCGTCGATAAAGCGTCAGACTTACGGTCAATAAGTAATGGCTTCGAATCCTGGCCGGATAAATTTACCTTTCTTCGTGGGTAGATAAATGAATACACACAGTCACGTGGCGAAGAAGTAAGAGATTGCACGTTTTAGTGGCCACGAAGCTACAGGTATCGCAAGGTGGGGTGATTTTTTGCTTGTAATTTATCTGTGATACCATTATTTTTAGCCGTCACTTTTAAACAACGTACGATGTTTTAAAAATTCTCAATTTTTTGTTTATGCCATGCTGCTGTTGTTTTTAACGTTTCAATCTAACGTTGAAAATTTCAGTTGATCTTCAAACTGAAATTCAAGTTGTCACGCGGCAGGTCAGCCAGCATCAGCGGTCCGCTGCTGTTCGTTTCGACGGCCAACGGCACTAGCATCGAGAAGTCGAACGATAACAACGTATGCACTGTCAAGGCGAGGGTGATCAAACGGGCAGAACTCGATATTGTCGGGTACGTAAAGACTCAGCGCATGTCGAATCGAATATATGACAGTACTTGGTTTTTAGCATCTCCGACCCGGCACTAGTGTACTTCGGTGGGGAGGTACGAGGTGAGAGTGCGATGGAGTACGAAGAGGACGTCGGCCCTCAAGTTCAGCTCACATACCTTGTACTGAAATTCGCATTGTTTTTTGCTGACGACTTTGCCAATAAATTGATTGTTTTCAGGTGCGGAATAACGGCCCTTGGGGAGTGGGCAATGTCACGGTTCTAATCGACTTTCCTTTCGAAGTCAATAGTCCATTCGCTCATGGAAAATGGGCGTTGTATTTAATGAGTACTCCTGCTATCGAGATACCAATTCCTGGCAGCACGGTATTTCTTGTGAATTTTTTTTATCTCTGAAATACTTGACGGTATCGGCATAAAATCCTCTAGAACTGAGGTGCACATCATTCTGCATCACTATCTTGCTCCTAAATCATTGAGGTCAGTCATCAGTGACTCCTGCAAACAAAGCAAAATAAAACGAGTTCGTACACCGGAGTATGTTAATAAGCGTATGTCATGAATAGTGGAATTTCATTCGTATCCACATGAAAGGATGTCATTTGGCTGACCTCTGACATAACTTAAGTGTTAAGGACCGCATCGCCTAGTTTACTGCATTCATTCATTCATGAGTTTCAGCAGCCTGTGTTTCTTTTCAGTTGCACTGAGAACAGCTTTACAGGTTTTATAAGATTGCATCTGTCCTCCGCTATTGGCAAGCTTTAGGAGCTGGATTATCAGGTGCGATGTTTAGTATTTCCTGTCGCAATGATCCTCGGTATAATCCTTGGTTGTTTAATTTATGTTGCTTTCCTTTTTGCTGCATTTATATTGTGTAAAGAATAAATGCCTTTATATATAAAATTTTGTTTGAGGAAATGGAACGCAGAAATTGCTACATCGACTACCTGAATGAACGAGTCGATCCGCTGAATCTTCGCGTAAGGAACTATGAATTTTGTGGCTTTGTGGGTTGAGTTCGTATGTTTATGCACTGCATGCTTTGATTCTGACGTTTGGGCTTTGTGATACTAGACTACCATTTGAGTTTTAAATCACAGACACGCGTCACTAATAGCATGAACAATGCATGGGACCGTACAGCTGTAGGTATTGCCGTCGTATGTAAACCACCCTTGGTGGTTTCTGCAGTGGGGGGATCATACGCTCTGTGAAATAATAATATGGCACAAACACTTTTCATGAAAGCGTAAACAGCATGGTTGATAATGTTCATTTTCTACTCTTTTCCTATAATGTTTCCTTTTTCTTCTCTTATCTACCTCCCTTTCTGACAAGATGTACTGGTCTTATGAATGCGGTGGGTCAAGAGCTAATCATTGGCAGGGTCTGAAATTGCAAAGACTAGTTTAAACCAGTTCATTGCAGTTTTCAGTTCAAAGAGTAACTGAAAATCTTCCATGATTAAGTAATTTGATTTGCCGTTTTTTCCCGCTGCTTTACGTAAGTTCTGAAGAAATGGCACATTATAATGGAGGTGGTTCGACAAACCATCAGTTACAAGTATTTTTCTTTGGCAATATGAAAAGTTTGTAATTATGGGATGTCGGACGCCCTTACCTTCATGACTGAGCGTCATTTGTGGCTTTCTACTTTTCATGGGGCTTCTGGGGCGATGCAGATCTCCGTTTCTAAGCCGTAAGTCAGGAGTACCTTGTTTTAAAGGCAACGTCTGCAGTTGTGGCAAATATTTCATGTACTCTCTTTCCAATGAAGTGGTTACTTGTTTCTAAACTTGGCAGGGAGTGAGTCACCTGACCAGGACTCGAAGTTGGATGTCCTCTCGGTTCTGAGTATGACGCTCTCCTGACGAGCAGTGCAGGTCATTTTTTAAGCAGTCTGGCTAAATTTGGCATGAAGAGGCGTAACGCTTTAATTATTTCCAATGTTTCCCATGTGCTGCCGCTTGCTAGGTTTCAGATACTGCTAATGTACAAGATCTGCACATCGAAAGTGAATTGTATCATAAGTCCTAATTTTACTCTGCTTATGTTCAAGCATTTTTTAAAAATTTTCTTGCGTGTTTACTTGTTTGCATGCACCCTTAAACCTCTGGTTTTTATTACGTTACCTTGCTTGCTCTTATTCTGTAGGTCGGCTATTCACCGGTGCATCAGCCCGAAGAACGGTTCAAACGGCAGGTATGAATTTGTGTGTCTGTGTGGATATCTCGTGTGGCGCGGCGTACGAAAATCCTACTTTACAGCAGCTTTTATTGCTTCTTGTTTACCAACTTCAGTCAATCAGCTTTGCATCATTGCTTCCGCTTGACGATTAGTTGACGTCTATATTGCTGGGGGGGAGTTGCACAGTTGATTGTATTCTGGTTTTGTGTTTGAGAAATTTTCCGCTGAATCCCTGTTCTGCATAAGTTTCGTATTAAACGCTACTTTCTTCGAGCAAGGAATTTACCTCTTCTTACAACCAGCTAAGATACGGACAGCAAGTCGTTGAATAATAGAGACAACAGGGTGTTCTGTTGTGGTCATATCTGAATTTGCTCGGATTTGCCACTATGCTGCTTTTGCATTGCAATTCTAGTTCGCCTTGACCAACCGGACATGTGAACTAAATATCAAAAGATGTAAACTGTAAATATAAAAATTTAAATCTGCATATCAAAGTCAGCCTGTTCTGGCTGGCGATGACGGAATGCTGTGGTGCAGTAGTGACAGTGTTGTAAAAAGTAAGGAATGTGAGGAGAGGATTCAGGTGAAGATATTCATGAATGCGATTCAGCCTCTTTCTAAGTTCTATTTAAGCCATAGAAGGTGAAAACAGATTTCTTATATACTGTAGCAATTCAGAATCCACCTTCGCCACCCGTTGCAGGGAGTGAACCACTGCTAGGTTACGGTTTCGCGTGACATGGGAAAGTACGAACACGACATGTGTGTATATGCTAGTAGCTGTTGTAGGACTCTGTTCTAGGAACCACAACCATTTTATAGAGCATGACGCTTATGTGTTGTTTTATGTATATCTTTATATATAGTATGTATATATCTTGTTATGTCTAATAAAATATCTCGCTCTGCATAATGAAAATTGATTTCTTCGAAGGACTGCTAGTCGGACAAGGCTTAACAAGCTCAAGGATATAACAGATTCGGATGGCAGCGCTTCAGTCGCTTCTTCACAATGTAGGAAACTCACAAGTGCAGTGTCTTGCGCCAGTAATATAGATGCCAAAGAAGGGAGTTCCAAAATGAAGACAAAACCACGTGACAGGCCGAGGGCAGTGTGATTCGATGGTATTGGGCATCTAGCATTTTCACACCTTTATTCTCGGCTACGTACTTTTCCGAATAGGTCCTATGGGAAAGTTTTCTGAATATGCGGTTTCGGCAACCAATAGCAATAGCGGGTCATAAGAATGAACGAACGAATGAGTAAAGAATGGTTAAGCTAAACTCCCGTTGGA